GCTTAGGGAGAAAGAGATATCTACCCTTACTGAGCTCATTGAATCTGCAATTAGGGTCGATTCCATCTTATTTGAAAACAAACTCGATAGGCAAGGAAAGATACCCAGATACCAACCTAATTACGGGAGACTATGACGTTCTACAGATTACTATGGACCGCAGCCTATAGAGATTGATAAGCTCCAGAAAGGCGATCAAGCCCTGAGAAAGCCTAAGAATTTTAAGAAAAATTCGGGAAATTGTTTTAAGTGTGGCTAACCAGGACATTTTACTCGAAACTGTTTGAAGCCTAAAAAACAATCAATTAAGGCTTTGAGAACTGGCGCGTAAGCACAGAAGATTGCTATGCTCAGGAAAGGCTCTCACAGTACTTACTGTTGGGGACCGAATCAAAATATGGGACCACAGGATGAAATAGTAATTCAGGGAATTTTGGAATGACACCCAGATGTTCGAACGAACATGGCTTATAAGTTCTATTAGGCGTTACTAATTAGCCATTGCCAAGTCCAGGATTGTGGATTTTGGGAGCACAGTGAAAATAGGGACCCAGGAGAACCATTATGGGAATATCCTTATGGACCACCTAAGGTTTCGTTCACGCAAGTACGACGAATATTCCAGATTGAGGGTATTAAGAGCAACGATTGTCACGTGCATCATGAGCACCTTCCAATCAATCTCTGCACGGCTTGGGGATGCCAATGTCCAAGGCACCGAATACCATTGATGTAATGGGGAACCCTTGATGAAGAAAATATGTTAATTAATGTTGGACCATCACCACACGGAATCCAAAGTGCAACTGGAAATCTTGATCCCAAAGAAAATAAGTTGATGGAAAATGTCTACAAATGCATCATAAAACTTATCTATATGACTGATGATTCGACAAGAAGGGCTATTATATAGGTTTTGCTTAAGGACCTGTACCGCATTGGATTTCAGATGAACGCGGACCTAGATTCTGAAGATCCGTAGAAGTTATATTGACTGAACCTGCAAATAACAAAAGTAATGTCCAACCCGGATGGAAGTTCCGAGGAATGGGAGTCAGGCGAAGAAACGCTTGATGACGGTGAAAGCGAGCACCCTTACTTCTCGGGAAACAAGGAGGTCGACTATTAAGGGGCGTAATAGTTGACTTTTGGAAGGAACCTCAAAGCCTTAGTAAGTTAGGGGAAGGCAAGCTAATGGTAGAAGTTGAGATTGCAGGCAACGCTACCATGGCCATGATTGACTCAGGAGCTACAGCGGACTTCTTGAGCAGTCGGTACGCACAGGAATGGGGTTTACCCTTACGTAAGAAGAAGGATCTATATCCACTTATTACTGCTGATGGAACTCCGATTGCTTTGGACCAAGGCATGGTTAAGTATGAGACAACCGTCAACATGACAATATTAGGCAAAAAGGTTAGAAGGATGTTTGACGTCACTAACATTGGGGATTCGGATATCATCCTCGGATTGTCATGGCTCTAGGACAAAAGACCGCACATCGACTAGTCAACCTTAACTGTGTCTCTAGTTAAGGATCGATGTCCTGCCCAGGCCAGGAAGCGCACTAGAGGGTAGATAAGAAAGCTTATGCGGCAGAGTACACAAGACGTAGAGGCGGTAGCTGTTTGTCAGCTCTAAGGGGAGCAGAAAACAGCGTTCCAAATTCCTTCGGAGTATAGGGAATTTACGGAACTTTTTGAGAAGGAGGCTCCAGAAGAAGCCTTGCCACCGCACCAGCCGTTCGATCACAAAATAGTGCTAAGAAAGGGATCCTAACTAAAAAGATTTAGTATCTACCCACTTAGGGCAGATCAAAGAGAAGTACTAGATAAGTACTTGGACGAAAACCTAAAACAAGGGTTTAT